ATTATATAGAGTGTAGGGTGGCTGGATAGATTAGATAGATTAGGTGGAGTAGGTGGGTTAGAAAGATTAGATCGATTAGGCAGGTTAGCTACATGAGGTAGGATTGGTAGTTAGATTGATCAACAGATTAGGACGATTAATCAGATTAGATAGGTGGAAAGCAAGATAGGTAGATAGATTGGTAGACCTGATTGATCGATTGATTGTCAAGTTGGGTTTAGAAAGATCAGCCTAGAAAGATGGACAGACCGATCGATCTATGGATCAATCGATGGATAGATAGATAGCTAGATAGACAGATGGATGGATGGATTGATTATAGATAGATTAGATAGGTTAGATAGATTAGATGGATTAGGTAAAGTAGATCGGTTTGGTAGATTAGATAGATTAGATAGATTGGGTAGAGTAGATTGGCTAGATGGATGGGGTAGAGTAGGTAGATTAGACAAAGTAGATGGGCTAGATGATCTATTGGATAGACTAGATTGATGTAAAAGGATGGAGAGGTTAGATAGATTAGATAGATTAGATTCAGGGTTTTACTGATTAGATCGATTAGAGCCTAGCGTAAATGGAATAGGCCGTAGGCAAATTAGATTAGATTTGGTTAGATTAGATTAGATTGGTTTAGACTAGTTCAGATTAGATTAGAGTGAAGTAGAGTAGAGTAGATTAGATGGTTAGCAAGATAAATAGATTGGAACGAATAGAGCGAATAGAAAGAATGGACAACTAGATAGATAAATCACAGACTTGCTGATGCACTACTTAAGTATGTGCACGCAGACTTGCTGCTACGCTACTGGCTCGTCTGTTGCATGTGCATCTGCTACGCTACTTGCTCTTCTTTTGCTGCGCAGGCTTGCTGCTTTGCTACTGGCCTGCGCGTATAATTAGCACTGATGTGTATGGCTAAATTCCCCGAAATGTACGAAAAGACAAGCTGCTTGGTATGCAAGCGGACGGCAGACAGGCCACCCGGCCACCCGGCCACCCGGCCACCCGGCCACCGACGACACACCCGGCCACTGGCCACGGCCACCCGGCCATCCGGCCATCCGGCCAGCCGGCCATCCGGCCAGCCGGCTATCCCAACCACCCAGCCGGCCACGGCCACGGCCACGGCCACGGCCACGGCCACGCACGGAAAAAAGCAATCCTCCACATATATATATATATATATATGCAGATATATAAAGACATAGATTCATTAGTATACATGTAGAATATGGCAGCCCATCAAATGGGACCCTGAATGAGTAACAGGTACTTGGCCGAAAGGTGAGGTTGGCCGCTGAAGAGGTATCCACATATCGATATATATACATATACATATAACTTGAACCAGGAATGATGGAAACAACAACTATATGCTGTATATATATATATATACATAGCGAGAGAGAGAGAGAGGGCTTGCAAGGAACCTGGAAAGGTATTTTTTGTTGAAAAGAATCGGGGGTGTACAGCAACATGTTGATGTTTTCATTGCTAGTTGGAATATAGCACGCATAAGAAATGTAAAGATCTGATCAAAAGTGACACAACGCGTGCATTGGCTCCTTAGCGTGTTTCTATCCTTGAAGTGGTTTGGGCACCAGGAGGTAAGTGATCAGGTGTTCTTTGCGCCACAGGACCATAGGATAGATGTTTCCCAAGTATAGATGATTGTTGTTTGAAGGTATGTATATTGATATATTATAACTTGAGAGGTCCCTGAAAAATAGAACAACAATCACTTTCCAGTAAATGGGATGGACAAATTCACGATTTGTTTGAACTTTCAGCCCTGTATGTGTGTCAAGCCAAGCCATCCCTTCAGCCATACCACGGTTCCAGGCGTCCAGTCTTGCGTGGTGACGTGAGCCCCATTCGAGAGGCATGGTGTATGGGTTTGTTTAGGCCCATGTGGGTTGCTTAAAGGTGCTAAAAGGAGATGTTGTCCCCACATGTCTTTTAGAAGTTTCTCATCCCATCTTTTTTTCAGACACCCACGCCCTCCATACCCTCACTTTGCCCACAAAGAGTTGTTAGTTTACCCTCAAGTTTTGGTACTTTACCCATTTGTATACGCAAGTTGAAGGTCAAGGAATATAGTGGTTGGGTTTTTCTCCCCACAACGCCAGAAGATAGTGAGGGTCATTGGGCCCACAAAGCTGGGAAACCTTTCCATCGGTAGCACTTTCATCTTCGGACAGGAATGGAGAACTACAAGAACTACGTGATACACCCGTGAAATCATCTCATAGCGGGCTATCTTTCTGATTAGCTATGCAAGCAGGTGCTTTTGCTGTGCCTCAAGAAGTCTTCCTTGTAAGTTTTGGATCCTAAACTTGACACGGTTTATGTGGGTCCATACAGGGGAGAAGTGTGAGCCGTAGTCTATGATGGTGATTTGATCAGATTTGATCAGATTGTCTTACGACATTTGAGGCATGGAATAATCGGCCTATAGCTGGAACCAGAAGTGATACCTAAAAATATACGTGTATATATATATACATATACATGTGTTTGTCGATTTGTATATATATATATATACAACCATTATTAGCCCATATATCATTATGTCGATATATTGATATAGCAATATACATATAAATTATTAACTATTTTTCTGTATATTTATCCATCTATTTACTGTATATGTATATATATGTATATATGCCTTTACAGACTTATATATATATATATATCCATGTGCATCTATCTGTCTATACAAATCTCCAATAACATAGACCACTAAAATCAGGTACTAAAAATAAAGTCTATAAGAGTGGATTACATTTCTATCGTTGTGGCAACAACGACTTCACGTCGCGACGTCACTGGAATGATTTTAATCCCTTTTTGTCGGGTTATGTCTCCCAAAATGACCTCATGTCAGGTAAGTGAATTATTATAAATCATCCAGATCTATGTAGAGGTACAATGTCGGTTTCCCCAGTTATGTTTGTTGGTTTTCAAAACCCATCAATACCATATTGTTTTTTGCGTATATTTGCGTATCATAAATATAAAGCAAATTGGAGTTGTTCACCAGCTTAGCTATCGCTTGGGGGCCCGACATAGCAGGTGCCCGCGCACATCCCCAGACCTCCCTACCTGGCTGCGGGGCAACCACGCCGCTCAGCCGCGCAAGAGTCCCCAATGGTGATTTGAAAACCATCGCTATACTATGACTGGTACGATGTCTTGATGGAATGGGAGGGTGGTTTGATGGAATGGTATGGTGATTTGATGGAAACATATGGTGATTCAATGGGATAGTATAGTGACTATAGTATGATGGTGGTTTAATGGGATAGTATGGTGGTTTAATGGGATAATATGTTGATATGCTGAAACAGAAACATACAAAGAACTATGTAAATCCATGCGTGTTTGTTGGAAATGATCTAGAAACAGTGGATTTTCCATAGCTATGTGAGTTTACTAGAGGGTAGTATGGGGATAATATTGGGACATTGTGATGATATATAATGAGATCAATGATATGATGTTAATAACATGGGAGTAAGAATTAATTATAGGGACAGGGAATATTCTTGGAATATACTATGATATACTTGGGATAGGGTGGGAGATCCAATCACGTAACGGGGATATAACTGATGTGGATGATTTCTTTACATATTATCGAAGGAAGTTTAGAAGTCAAACTTCCGACAATATGGACAGATGAAAAGCAGAGATGGGAAGAGTCAGAGAAGAGAAGAGAAGAAAGAGAAAGAGTCGGAAGAAAGAAGATCCAGGTGCGCGAAAAGGTAGGAAAGTCGCGAAACACTGTGTTTTTCCGATGGTTTGAGGCTCCGGAGGGTCGAAAAGTAGGCTCGCTAAAGCGGCGGGTGCGGAGGCAGCTGGCGAGAGGAGAGATGAAAAATTGCACGCCGTTGTGGCGCGAAGCACATTTCGAAGTGAACATGTACAAAACACCTCAGCCTCGGAGCACTTTTGGCAGTTGAGATGTCGAAAAAGTGCACGCTGCTGTGGCGCGAAGCAAGCACATTTCGAACTCAAAATGTACAAAGCACACCAGGTTCGGACCACTTTTGGAAGTTGAGATGTCTAAAAAGTGCACGCCGTTGTGGCGCGAAGATCCCCGTTCGAATTTCAACTACTGAATGGGAGGCCTTGTGCCCCGTATCAAGGGCATTTACGGGCTTAAATTAAGACGCCAAAATGGGGCTGGGCCAGGCATTTTGTAGCCACAGCTTGGGAATTGCATTTTATAAGTTTTCAACGTTTCGGTAGTTGAAAGACCTTTAAAAATCGAAAGTCATTTTGTAGCAAGAGAATTTGCCCATCGGAAGACAACATATAAACACCCAATCTCATTTTGTAGCAAGGGAAGTTGCCCTTCGGAAGGCAACATGTGAAAACCCAATCTCATTTTGTAGCAAAGCTAGTTGCCCTTCATACAACAACATGTTAAAACATGTTAACGTTTCCAATTATTTCCAATCGTCATTTTGTAGTATTGAAGTGCTCCCTTCAAGTAACCTGATGATAAAAACATATAAACGCCAATCTTCATGTTGTAGTGGTGGATTTTCCCCTTCAAGTAACCTCATGATAAAAACCAATCTTCATTTTGTAGCAGTATCATGTTGTCATTTTCCGTAATCCTCTGGAGGTTGAGAACCATCATTTTATAATGGCTGAGGTTAGGAACTTTGAGACTTTTCTAGAAAATGAGGGTCTCGACCCCATAGGTGAAATTCAAACCGGGATGCGCGAAGCACATTTCGAAGTCAAAATGTACAAAACACAACAGGTTCGGACATGTTCGGACCACTTTTGGAAGTTGAGATGTCTACAAAGTGCACGCCGTTGTGGCGCGAAGCACATTTCGAAGTCAAAATGTACAAGGCACACCAGGTTCGGACCAATTTGCACGCTGTTGTGGCGCGAAGCAAGCACATTTCGAAGTCAAAATGTTAAAAACACAACTTTTTTAACGTTCAGATCTCGATTTGCGTGGCAGGCGCAAGGGGTTATGCACCTTGGCGAAAGTGGGTAAAACGTGAGGGTTTTGTAGCATTTCCAAAAATGATGGCAGGTGTAGGACATTTGAAGAGGATCTGCAAAGATGCATTTTCCGTGGCAGCCGTGTTACAAGAGACATGTTCATCAGAGCTGTTAGGAGGTCCGGGCGCTGATTTCCCGAGAGGGGTTGCATTTTGGAGCATCAGATCTTCAGGTTTGCTCAGATGATTGTGCGTGACAGGTGCAGCACTTCGTATGACCTGGCATCACTTTTTCGTGGCAGGCGCAGTACTTTAGACAGGTGGAGTGGAAAAATTACAAAATGCATTGGTACGAGGCCGTCAGCTCTGCACTCAACGTTCCATTTTTTTGAAGAGAGTCTCGCAGAATTGCTTCGTTTTTGATGTTGTCAACTTCAAAAAATGAGGAAGTCTCGCAGAATTGCTTCGTCTTTGACGTTGTCAAGTTCAAAAATTGAGGGAGCCTCGCTGAATTGCTGCGTTTTTGATGTTGGCAAGTTCAAAAACTGAAAATCTCGCAGAATAGCGTCGTTTTCATGCTTGCAGATAGATAGATAGATAGATAGATAGATAGATAGATAGATAGACAACTACAACCACAACTACAGCTACAACTACAAGTACCACTACACTACACTACTACTACAACTACAAGTACAAATATACGATGCTACATTACACAGCACTAATTACACTACACTACACTAATTACATCCAATTACGCTACGCTACACTAATCACACTACAACTACTACAACAGCCACTACTACTACTACTACTGCTGCTGCTGCTGCTGCCGCCGCCGCTACTGCTACTTCTACTACTACTACAACTACAACAACAACAACTACTACTACTACTACTAGTACTACTACTACTACTACTACTACTCCTGCTACTACTACTACTACAACAACAACAACTACTACTACTACTTCTACTACTACCACTACTCCTACTACTACTACAACTACTACTACTACTACTACTACTTCTACTTCTACTTCTACTTCTACTTCTACTTCTACTTCTACTACTACCACTACTCCTACTACTACTACGACGACGACGACTACTACTACTACTACTACTTCTACTACTACCACCACAGCTACAACTACAATTACAGCTACACTACATTACACTACAAACACTAATTAAACTGCAACACATTACAGCTACAAAAAACAACTGCAACTACAACTACAACTACGCTACATCACACAACACTGCGCTACATTACATTACATTACATTACATTACACTACAACTGCAACTACCACTACATTGCACTACACGACACTACACTACAACTACAGCTACAGTACTTTACACTACAATACACTAGACTACTACAACTCCACTACACTACAGCTACAACTACACCTACAACTACAACTGCACCACGCCACGTCGTCCATCAGTGGATTCGCTCTGGCATCTGTGATTTACAACAACCAATCTCTTCTATAGGTTTCCTATTTTTGAAACTTCCGCCACCGCCTTGTGCGGTACTACTGGTATAATTGAATATATTGATGGGAAACGGGGTAAAAATGGTGGACACAAAATAAAAATATGTTGATGTTCTGAGATACACCGGGATATATTCATGTGATATTATTAATATCATTCATATGCGTGGATGTGGTGGGTTACAAAGCTATGAAAACGATGATGTGATCAAAGTGTCTGAACATTTAGGATTGGCCCCGCAAGGGGTCTTTTCCCTGGTTTCTATTCCTTTCTTCGGCCACGGCCACCATCTCAAGGGGGAAAAACCAGAAAATAGATAAACAATATGTCAATATGGAGTCGGCTCCTGTCAATGACAGACAATGTAGATGATATTCCCAAACTAATTTCCAGAATTCCAACTCTTTTATGGGGAGAGTTGCTGGCAATGGAACATGACAAATCTCTCCTAATTATCCAGTTTCATATCTCTCGTAATTATCTAGTTTCATTCCGTCTGTGAACCTGAAACAACCTGATTGTAGCCGCTCACCAATCCTTGTTTCTGAGTCCAAAATAATCTTGGACCTTGCACCATGCAAGAGACCCTGAGACCGTGCTGAACCAAGTGCAGTTCCTGGAGACAGACGGCCATGTAATCATTTTTCCGAGCATCCTCATTTCTCTATTGTCACAGATGTATGAGTGTGTATATACACATATACGGCATATACGCTTAATATAAACATATATATATATACACTATATATATATATATATTTATAGATATACAATATACAGTAATATACAGTAGACGTTGCAACTGTAATGCTATTGCCCCATGCTTCGCTCATTTCGCTCCGTTGAGGTGCACCAATGGATGGATTGCCGGTGCATGAGCCGCCCGGATCTGGGTAAATGGTGGTAAATTGTGGGTAGATGATTGGTATATGGCGACCATCCAGTGGTATAGGCCTGGTATATGGGGCCCCATATATGATTGGATTATTGGTGGTTTATGGTTGAAATGGTGTAATTTGCTTCAAGGGTTGGCACCTCCGTTCTTGAAAGCTTTAGAAAAAAACCGGAGTGCTGCATGGATCTCCCAATTCATGGGATCCAACACATGAAACACTTTCAACGATGGGTCAAAAAAAGGTGGTAGTGTTACTGCTAGAGAAGATTGAAGCAGAAGGGTTCAAGGGTGGTGATTTTCTGGTGATCTGTGATATTTTGCTCGAAACTCAGTGAATTGTTTTTTTCTTGTTTTTTTCCGATGATTTTAACGGTTAGCCATATATCTCCAACATGAGTTTTTGTTGTCCATAAGTCATCGGATTTTAGCCATGCACCATAAATTCCAGCGAGCCTGTCCAAAATTTTTGTCGATCTTGTGACGATAAAAATCTTTGGAATGGATTGACATTCCATTTTCCCAGAAAGTAACCATAAAAAGCTATGAGTTTTTTGTATTTGCATTACCGTTTTTGGATTCCGGTAGGAGGCATTTCCTTCTGACGAGGAGCTCCTGGAGAAACTGGACATTTAGTTTCCTGTAGCGTAAGATGCACTGAATTCTATGTTGCTTCAGATGGCCATGGCATGTGGTGACTATATCACTAGTTGGAGATCTTGAGAACGCCGTTGGATAGATGAGGTTGTTCACTGCTGAAACAGCATTAATCTGTCTTCCAGATCCGGCATGATGTTGAGACACATGTTCAATTCTGGGGGAACAGCTGCGGTGCATGATGAACCCGAGGAGGCCAGACTTGTCCACCATTCTGTCAGTGCGGATGGTCATGACATGTGGTGACTAATCACCAGTTGGAGATCTTGAGAACGCCGCTGAGTAGTTGAAGTTGTTGAATGCGTGCAATTGCTGCGGTGCATGATGAACCCGAGGAGGTCAGACTTCTCCACCATTCTGTCAGTGCGGATGGTCATGACATGTGGTGACTAATCACCAGTTGGAGATCTTGAGAACGCCGCTGAGTAATGTAGGTTACAGATTAGTGTGGGGAGGCCCCCCCCAAACAAATTTTGGATACAGAATAGTGTAAAAAAAACAAAGTACCGGGCACGCAATACGGTGAAATCAAAAAAAAAGATAGATTTATTAAATTGATTTCAATTTACTTTCAATTGATTTCAATTTATTTTGAATTGATTTGAAGTTACTTTGAATTGATTCAATTTACTTTCAATTGATTTCAATTTATTTTGAATTGATTTCAATTTACTTTCAATTGATTTCAATTTATTTTGAATTGATTTCAATTTACTTTCAATTGATTTGAATTTACTTTCAATTGATTTCAATTTATTTTGAATTGATTTCAATTTACTTTCAATTGATTTGAAGTTACTTTGAGTTGATTTAAATTTACTTTCAATTGATTTCAATTTATTTTGAATTGATTTCAATTTACTTTCAATTGATTTGAATTAGATTTAAATTGATTTCAATTTACGTTCAATTGATTTCAATTTACTTTCAATTGATTTGAAGATACTTTCAATTGATTTGAAGTTACTTTCAATTGATTTCAATTTACTTTCAATTGATTTCAATTTACTTTCAATTGATCTCAAGTTACTTTCAATTGAATTCAAGTTACTTTCAATTGATTTCAAGTTACTTTGAATTGTTTTCAATTTACTTTCAATTGATTTCAATTCATTTTGAATTGATTTCAATTTACTTTCAATTGATTTGAAGTTACTTTCGATTGATTTCAATTTACTTTCAATTGATTTGAAGTTACTTTCAATTGATTTGAAGTTACTTTGATTTGATTTCAATTTACTTTCAATTGATTTCAATTTACTTGCAATTGATTTGAAGTTACTTTGAATTGATTTGAAGTTACTTTGAATTGATTTCAATTTACTTTCAATTGATTTCAATTTATTTTGAATTGATTTGAAGTTACTTTGAATTGATTTCAAATTATTTTGAAATGATTTCAATTTACTTTCAATTGATTTCAATTTACTTTCAATTTACTTTCAATTGATTTGAAGTTACTTTCAATTGATTTCAATTTACTTTCAATTGATTTAAATTTACTTTCAATTGATTTCAATTTACTTTCAAATGATTTCAATTTATTTTCAATTGATTTCAATTTACTTTCAATTGATTTCAATTTACTTTCAAATGATTTCAATTTACTTTCAATTGATTTCAATTTACTTTCAATTGATTTCAATTTACTTTCAATTGATTTGAATTTACTTTCAATTGATTTCATTTTACGAATCCAATAGAAATACCATAGAAATCCCATAGGAATCCAATGGAAATCCCATAAGAATACCATAGCCATAGAACTCCCATAGCACCCCTTCAGAAATCCCATAGAAATCCTCCAGAAATATCATAGAAACATCATGGAAAACCCATAGGAATTCCATAGAAATCCAATAGTAATACCATAGAAATACCATAAAAGAAAAAAACTTTAGCAAAGGAAAAGGTAAAGGGAATGCTTGAAAAAACATCACACCAGGAAGCATCTGGACACAATAGTGTACCCTCGAAACAAACCACACTATTGTGTATCAGGGTTGCTCATGGACTACCCCCTTGAAAAATTGTTTGAGTGATGTTTTTTAATTGGGTTTTAATAAGGCATCATATATTTTGGAAAACTGGGCATTTCTGAGAATATCAAATGAAAGAAACTAAGAAGTAATTAATTAATTAAAAGGAAAAAAAATGAGCAAAGGAAAAGGTAAAGGAAATGATTGCAAAAAAAAACAAAATCACCTCAGGAAGCAGCTGGACACAATAGTGTACCCTCTAAACAAACCACACCATTGTGTATCAGGGTTGCTCATGGACTACCCCCTTGAAAAATTGTTTGAGTGATGTTTTTTAATTGGGTTTTAATAAGGCATCATATTTTTTTGGAAAACTGTGCATTTCTGAGAATTTCAAATGAAAGAAACTAAGAAAGTAATTAATTAAAAGAAAAAAAAAAAGCAAAGGAAAAGGTAAAGGAAACCATTGAAAAAATCAAAAAATCATGACCTCAGGAAAGCAGCTGGACACAATAGTGTACCCTCCAAACAAACCACACTATTGTGTATCAGGGTTGCTCATGGACTACCCCCTTGAAAAATTGTTTGAGTGATGTTTTTTAATTGGGTTTTAATAAGGCATCATATATTTTGGGAAACTGGGCATTTCTGAGAATTTCAAATGAAAGAAACTAAGAAAGTAATTAAGTAATTAAAAGAAAAAACTTTAGCAAAGGAAAAGGTAAAGGAAATGATTGAAAAAATCAAAAAATCATGACCTCAGGAAAGCAGCTGGACACAATAGTGTACCCTCAAACAAACCACACTATTATGTATCAGGGTTGCTCATGGACTACCCCCTTGAAAAATTGTTTGAGTGATGTTTTTTAATTGGGTTTTAATAAGGCATCATATATTTTGGAAAACTGGGCATTTCTGAGAATTTCAAATGAAAGAAACTAAGAAAGTAATTAATTAAAAGAAAAAACTTTAGCAAAGGAAAAGGTAAAGGAAATGATTGAAAAAATCAAAAAATCATGACCTCAGGAAAGCAGCTGGACACAATAGTGTACCCTCCAAACAAACCACACTATTATGTATCAGGGTTGCTCATGGACTACCCCCTTGAAAAATTGTTTGAGTGATGTTTTTTAATTGGGTTTTAATAAGGCATCATATATTTTGGAAAACTGGGCATTTCTGAGAATATCAAATGAAAGAAACTAAGAAAGTAATTAAGTAATTAAAAGAAAAAACTTTAGCAAAGGAAAAGGTAAAGGAAATGATTGAAAAAAACAAAAAATCATGACCTCAGGAAAGCAGCTGGACACAATAGTGTACCCTCCAAACAAACCACACTATTGTGTACCTGGATGTAATTTTCTGTGGAAGGCATCTGCAAAATTTCAATGATGGAAAATAAAAAGTAAAAGAAAAACGCTTTAAAAAATGAAAAAAATGAAAAATGTTTGAACAACAAAAAAAACCAAGACACAATTGTGTATCCTGACACAATGACACAATTGTGTATCCTGACACAATTTTACAAAACATAATTACAAATAACAAAATAAATTAAAAATAAAAATAAAGAATAATTTAAAATAAAATAAAAAAATAATTAAATTAAACAATATTATAATTAAAAATAAAAATAATTTAAAATAAAATAAAAAATAATTAAATTAAAAATTATTATTATTAAAAATAAAAATTAAAAAATAATTTAAAATAAAATAAAAAAATAAAAATAATAATAAAAATAAAAATAATAAAAAACAATTAAAAACTAAAAAACAAAAAAATGAAAAAAAAACTTACACCAAAATCCTGTGGACACAAAACTGTACCCCTCGATCATTTCCAAAGTTCCAAAATAATTTTGGAGTCTGTGGACACAATTCTGTATCCCCACACTAATCTGTATCCCACATTAGTTGAAGTTGTTGAATGCGTGCAATTGCTGCGGCGCATGATGAACCCGAGGAGGTCAGACTTGTCCACCATTCTGTCAGTGCGGATGGTCATGACATGTGGTGACTAATCACCAGTTGGAGATCTTGAGAACGCCGCTGAGCAGTTGAAGTTGTTGAATGCGTGCAATTGCTGCGGTGCATGATGAACCCGAGGAGGTCAGACTTCTCCACCATTCTGTCAGTGCGGATGGTCATGACATGTGGTGACTAATCACCAGTTGGAGATCTTGAGAACGCCGCTGAGTAGTTGAAGTTGTTGAATGCGTGCAATTGCTGCGGTGCATGATGAACCCGAGGAGGTCAGACTTGTCCACCATTCTGTCAGTGCGGATGGTCATGACATGTGGTGACTAATCACCAGTTGGAGATCTTGAGAACGCCGCTGAGTAGTTGAAGTTGTTGAATGCGTGCAATTGCTGCGGTGCATGATGAACCCGAGGAGGTCAGACTTGTCCACCATTCTGTCAGTGCGGATGGTCATGACATGTGGTGACTAATCACCAGTTGGAGATCTTGAGAACGCCGCTGAGCAGTTGAAGTTGTTGAATGCGTGCAATTGCTGCGGTGCATGATGAACCCGAGGAGGTCAGACTTGTCCACCATTCTGTCAGTGCGGATGGTCATGACATGTGGTGACTAATCACCAGTTGGAGATCTTGAGAACGCCGCTGAGTAGTTGAAGTTGTTGAATGCGTGCAATTGCTGCGGTGCATGATGAACCCGAGGAGGTCAGACTTGTCCACCATTCTGTCAGTGCGGATTGTCATGACATGTGGTGACTAATCACCAGTTGGAGATCTTGAGAATGCCGCTGGATAGATGAGGTTGTTCACTGGTGAAACAGCATTGACCTTGCGTGTAACCCAGCCTTGTTGTGCCTCATTGTGCCACCGCTTTATAATGTGCGAACACACATTGCTGGTTGGTGGTTTGGAACATGTTTTATTTTCCATAATATATGGGATAATCCTTCCCATTGACTAATATGTTTCAGAGGGGTTGAAGCTACCAACCAGATTGGTTGTTAATGGTGTTGAATTGTTTTTCACCCACCAGCCTCCTGCGTCCATCGTCCGAGGTTTTACAGTGGTCCTGATCCCACGCAGGTGAGATTTGGGGTCCGGCGGGAGGGCCATCCCCCGATTTGAATATAGGTGGGATACAATATTACAATTTTAATCTAGTATATAAATATAGTATATATGTGAATGAATATGACATTATAATATATTATACATAATATTGTATAATTTTTATAATGTACTATATATAGTATATTAAATAATAGATAATTTATTCATGGTTCATTTATGATCACATTTAATTATACGTATTTACATACATATGCATGGCAGATGTCTATCATTGTGCACTCTGGCAACTGGATAGCCTGTACCATCCCTGCATGGGTATCACATGGCTATCCCCCAAATGGGCTTGTTGGATATACCCCAAAGTCATATTAGGTCAATGTTGATGTTTCCTGTCACAAGTTTGTTTCGATGTTTAATTGCAATCAATAACTATCCATTAATTCTAAGTATGTCCCAAAGATTTATGTTTTGGATACGGAAGAAAAGGTTGTCCAGTTGTAAGTGGACATATTATGATTAGACCCAGTTGTTCCCCATCTGCACCAAAAAACTCCCGGATTCCTGGTTGTGTATGTTCGTAAATTCGCCTAAATTTGCCAAAGAATATCCCATATAATCCAGGATTCTCCTAGTTTATGCTAAATTCACATTATATGAAGGTTTCCCAAAATTGGGGGTACCCCCAAATCATCCATTTTATTTTCGGATTTGCCATTATAAACCATCTATTTCGAGATACCCTCTGGTAATTTAACATAGCTATTGAAAATTGCCATTTATAGTGAGGTTTCCCATTAATAGCATGGTGATTTTCCATAGTTATGTAAACGTTTGTCAGGGGGTATCCCATTTCAGGAACCCCCCCCATATCTTTCTCCTTTGTTTCGTAACCAGGAAGAGCGCTTTCACATCGAAGTGAAGGAGACTGAGCAGATTCAGGAGGGATTCGTTATTGATGTTCCATCCATGGACTTGTACTGGGAATCAAGGCCACATATCTAATATATGTGATTATATATATATATATTATAATAGTACTTTTATATATATATACATATTGTACGATTTATGTATATATATAATATATATATAATATCTAGTCTATATGTTTTATATTATGTAACTATTCACGTATGTGTATACTGATACTATATATATATATATGTTGTTTCTAAAAAGTTATATGCCACCCCCCCAAGACCTACCTTTCAAGCAAATTTAATGATATTTACATTGTTTTCCTTAACCCTTTCAACTCTAAAACTTAGGACATTTTTTGGTGATCATTTTTTTCCTTGCAATTTTGTTACCACCCCATCCTTCCCTAAGTAGATCGGATCCAAGATTGAAGATTCAAGATTCAAGACACCAAACACACTTTTTGAATCCAAGGGGGTAGGATTGAAGATTCAAGGTTCAAAATCCCAAAATAAACTTCTTGATTCCAAGGGGTAGGATTCAAGATTCAAGATTCAAGATGCCAACAAAAACTTCTTGAATCCGAAGGCCTTCAGCCTTGAATCTTGAATCCAAAGAGGTTGGATTGAATATTTTTTTTTTTCTGAGCCTTGAACCTTGAATCCAAAAAGGTTGGATTGAAGATTTTTCCTTGAACCCAAAGAGGATGGATTGAAGAAGTTTTTTTTCCTGAGCCTTGAATCTTGAACCCAAAGAGGTTGGGTTGAATATTTCTTTCTAAGCCTTGAATCTTGAATCTAAAAAGGTTGGATTTAAGTTTGTTTTCTGAGCCTTGAATCTTGAATCTTGAATCCAAAGAGGTTGGATTGAAGTAGTTTTTCCTGAGCCTTGAATCTTGAATCTTGAATCCAGATGCTTAGAACAATATTAGTCACCTGAAATTGCAATTTCTTGCAAATGATCGGCCTGTTTGCTGAGGACATTCCTCAAATAAACTTGCCTATGCTGTAAAAGAAAAGTCTAAAGCCCATGCCTTTGCTTTCCAAGCAGGCAAAAATAACGAAAACATAAAAAAAAAGCAATAAAGGAAATTACATTCATCATAATAAAAGCAAAATAAACTTAAAAAAAAAACATTCCGCAATCTTAAACAGTATTTTTTAAACGAACAAGAAGAACAAAATAAACAATAATAATAAGTAAAAGTACATGAGCCCATCCGATAGCAATACCTCTTTATCTACAGATCAATCAAAAACCATCCCAACAAAATGTATTAGAAAGGGTTGCAGATAGATCGGCAAACAAAACTTTCTTTTAAAAAAATGGTAGCAATTTATGTTTAGAAAAAAGGTAATATACTATGAAAAAAAACTGAAATGCTATTAAAGTTTACATCACACAATGGTAGAATATTATCACTAAAAAAACAAACAAACCAATCTGAAAAAAATCATATTCAAGAGAAAAAAAGATTAACGTAAAACTAGATCCTCAGAATATAGACCTAAAAGAACTAATATGTGTTTTTTTTTTAAGAATATATGACACATCTATTTAAAATTGATCTAGGTTTGTGTGTTTTTACTTTTTAATCTGTTATCATCAAACACATTTATGTTTATCAAATATAATTTCTAACTCAAGCACTCCTGGATTTAAAGCAATGAAATTACAAGATCACCTGCATTACACAGATAAAAAAAATATTACAGCAAACAAAACATGTTCTACAAAAAAAGTAGAAAACATGTAGATGCCCAGAAAAAAAACTGATGGAAATAACGTAGATTCACAAGAACAAAAAAGACAATTAACATCAAATGAGAATATGATTGGTTATTGCCAATTTACTATGCAAAGCTTGATGGAATGATTTGAAATTGTAGGTGGATTAAAAAGGTAATTGCATTATGAAAATGTAAAATCTCAAGATGCAATAGCTCTATCACCTAATCCTGCACAAAGCTCAGCTTTGGTAGAAGCTAAAAGGTTTCAAATTGTTACAGAACATTTAGTAAACATGAATTCCACCAGTAGTCATTATAAACAAGGGCATAAACAACTACCGTACAAAAAAATGTATTCATCAAAAACGATTAAAAAAAAACATATGCTATACTCTGTTGTAAAAACGGATAACACAATTTCAATCCATCTATTTCCCTAATCATATTGCTTCAAATGCTAAAGGTTTTGTAAAAATACCAAATGTTGTAGAATATATTGAAAAAGCAGGCTTGCAAGAATCAGATTATAGATTTAAACTTTGCTGATATATTCAAAATGTCTGAAAGCTTAAAAAATAAAACATTATATAAATATAATGAAATAAATATGTCAAATATAGATGTTACAGCGCTATGCTGCAGCTACATATGTGGGCAGGATGTGTCCAGGCGCATGCTTCCAAGGTACTTTCCTGATGCTGTGCTACAATAGGTGATAAGATAAGAAGGAAGACAAGGCATTCAGGAAAATATCTGCTACACAAAAGGTAGGTCTTGGGGGTGTTGTATATATATATATATATATTTCAAGTATATATACACATGATATATACACATATTATTTGTATTATATATGTATATATGCATATATAGACCTGCATACGTGTATATATATATAAATATGTTTTTTATTTGTGTTTATTTCTGTAACATTATTGATCTACGGAACTAACTTGCTTGCTGCTTCATGTGATTTCTTTTGACTTCTGGCTTTGCTTAGGGACACATTCAAGCATTGGGCAAAATTGCAACTGTTATATTGTTTCCTTCGTCCATGGGTACATGGCATGTAGCGCATTTCTTCCACCAACTGCTGGACCGTTGGATGACCTCGACGAAGTTCCAGACACAGATTTCGGTCATGGTAGAGTGAGGAACTCCCATGTACCGTTGATATTTCTATGATTTTTTTTGTTCCTTCAATCAATACCATGTAGATTGTTTTCCATCCGTAGGATGATCCCCAAAGGCGAAGGTCTTCAGGTCACAAATGGAGGTTGACACTATCAATTATCTAGGGGATACATATATATATATATATTAATGGTTCAACAGTAATCATAATATCAATAATAATGGTTAAAACAAAATATATACATCTATATATTGGTCTGATCCACAAACAAATTAAGGGCTAATGCATAAACATCTCAGCCACATATCCGGATGATAGCCATGCCATGCGTCGTTGCTAGTCAGGGCATGCGTGTGGCCTGCCAGCTGGCGGGGGCCCCAAACAATCCTGCGGTGCCCAGATTTCCTTCGTGGCGATCTTCTGTTTCACACAAACGATTTGTAAGCAAATAGGATAATGGTTATACGGTTATTATAGATCATTCCCCAATTTACTAAGCACCAGTAAATTTTCGGTAACTTCTCAAATGTGGCAACAATATACTGGGTGTATTGACAATTAACTGATATTTAATTAAGTAGTACTAGCAATATTCACCATAGATATATTTAATATGTGCTGTTATATAATGATAATTTATGATATACTAATGATTAATTAATGTATATACTGTATTTATATATATATATACATATTGCGTACTGCAACTATCCTTGTTGATATCTTGTGTTCAGGGATTGAACGCCTGAATATGATTGACCGCGTCTGTTTTTGAAACTGTGATGATACTTCAGCATTTTTTCACAGTGGGCAATGGGTCAGTCAAGTGTGAGGAGTATGCGGACTGGAGGGTGCTTGGATGTTTTCCAGCACAATAACATTTATATGTGTATAGCCCTGTATAGCGTATAGCATATCCAAACCACTTTTCAGCAGTCCATGTTAGCACAGGAAAGCTTCGGGTTATATGATTACCAATGAGCTGGACACAAAGAAAACAGGCACTGCACCCAGCTGCCATGCTCCAGAGGATACAGCTTATAGATGAGAACCATGGACTGGTCATTTCGGACTCTCCAGTTTAGTCCTCATTTGACCTGGCCCCGAAAAGCATGTGCAGCTGGCACATCTATGACCCCCGGCCGACATGATATGTCTGTTGGCGATCCTTGACATGGTCCATCATAATGACATATGTAAGAACCCCTGAAATTTCACGATTTTTTATCTTCACTATTTCGTGGTTGTTACAATCCCTCCATGTTTTATGGTCCTTCAAAATGATGCAATTACTGTTTTTGCCCAAATAAGGACCTATGCTGGGAATAAACTTCAGAAGCATCCCATATGTTACTGTATCACATGTTGAGCCCCGTTGTTTTATCCAATTCCAATATTTGATGTGTATATTTCTATATAAATAGTATATAGTACATTTATATATATACACGGTGTATGTATATACATATATATATATATATGTCCAATGAAACTATAGTGATTTCACTGAAAAAAAAACGACACCATGCAGGCGCGACAGACATTGGAAGTTGCTGGCCGTGCTGTGACTCCAGGTGGGTGGCTTGAGTGGCGACCGTTGGAGTTAATGGTGGTTTAACCATCAACAACTGGTGATTAAATTGGTTTAAATAGCCATTAAAATAGATTTAATACGATTGGGAACTATAATAAACCACCCATGACTGGGAATGGTAAACATACCACCTATGTATTTATGGTAATGACTGCGGGATGGTTTATTAGTGTTTTAGCCATATTAATGGCGGTTTGACCATCAACAAATGGTGATTTATTGGTGATTTATAATGGATTTCAAAAAACAGGTGTACTATATATATACATATCTATATACATATATATATATATATGGGATCAAACAGTAACCGGCCCAGAGGATTGCAGATTCTGGTCATTTTTAGTATTAAAACATCCCATTTTTATGACGTCTCTAATTTTGACCCATATCCATACGAAGAAAAGAAGATATCATTCTATATAGATTGCTTGTTGGAAGGGTTTATAAAGGTTTGCCCCAACTCATTTTATTTCTGGACTATAGTAACTCATGGGCTACCTATCATCCAACCAGTATAATGGGATGGGATGGGGATATATTTCGTGGCTCATAATGGGATGGGATAGGGAAAAGGTGCAATGTCGGCTGGATGGGGAGTCATCCATGAAAGAATTGGTCGTTGCTAAACCAAACATATAAGGCTGCCACCATTAAAAGTATGCGTGAATGTTCATTGCTTGGTGCTAAAAGGGCCATATAGTCTGACACTGAACACATGCACCCATAAAAAAAACATACAGTAGATAATATATATATATATATACATACATACATACATGAACATGTATATATATATATATATATTTGGTACTTGCAACTCTTAATGGGTCAATTGAGGATCTATAGTAACATTCGCGTTTCCGTTTGAATCTTTGTTTACATTCCCAGGCGTCACAACGGATGAGATCGATCGGCGAGCACATGATTTCATTGTGGCCAACGGTGCGGCACTTGGAAATCTGGCCGTGCAGGTGGGCCCATGGGGAAGCATTGCAGATGGATGTTTTCATCCAGATGTCGGATGGGTAAAGTATAAGCAACAAACATGGAGGTTTCCTGAAATAGTGGCTCCCCTTAATCATCCATGTTATTTTCGGACTTTCCCTTATAAACCATCTAGCTATTGGGATACCCATGACTATGGTTAAACCACCATGTGGAGATTGCAAAGGGACGGCCAAAGCCTTGACCTGGCGAAGAAGAATGGGCTCAGTATATCACCATTACATCACCAAGAATATCATCATTTATTATCACCATTATGCCACCATTTGTTCATAGTTTTAAACCCCTGCCATGATTAGATTTAACTATTTGAAATGATGGATCGTTTCGTCTGACTGTGTCCTTGAGCACTGTCCATGAACGTTGACCCCAGGTGCATATCCGAGCCCTTTGGAGTTCGCCTGGGCGTTCGACAGATGAGTTCATGGTGCAAGATGTGGATCTTCCTTCGAAGTATTTTTTGAATATGTGGTCGCCAATCATCTTCCAGGAAAACCAGGATGATCCCATGGGGGACTTTCATATGTGCGCGAGCAGTCATGAGGTCCAAGTCCCAACGATGTATTGTTGTAGATGTTTGAGTCACAGTCGCATGGAGAGCTGGTTGTATTTTCATTGATCCAATCCGAGCTGGATGGTGAATTAAGGAAAAAAATGAATCCAACCCAACCCATCCCAACCTCTATGATCAAATCCATCAATGAACTATCCAACACACATCAATGCACAGGCAATAACCATGAAGTGATCATCTATTCCCGATGGTTAAGAAAATGGTCTCATCAGTCTAATCCATCACATCCATAGACTAATCATTTTACTATAAAATTAATATTATATATATAACTATATATAGTTATGTATATATATATAGTTGTATTTAGTGGCTAGTCATTGTGAATAGTAAATTAATTAGTATAGATTTAACTATTAACATTGACACTATTCAACCACTAGCAAAGTTTCAACTACATTCAATTCGATGGCTAGTCATACCATCAACCTGCGCCCAGCAAAGACAAAAAGAACAGGTACTGCGGCTTTCCAAAGGCTGTGTGTACCAGTGCCTGTTGGCCCAGGGGTCTGAGGATTGGATATCTTGGGAGAGATGTTGATGCCCGTTGATATTCAAAATGTTCGGAAACATACTATATTATATATATATATATATACGTATTTATATGTACTTTTTTTGTCTTTGAGTGTATATATTTAAATTGGTAACATATATATATATATATGTAGCATGTGTATATATATATACATGTGTATATGATCATGAACATATATATATATATACTGTATATCGTCAGATGTTCATGCATACACATGTGAATGTACACATATTGTATGCAATAGATAAACAAATATTGCATTTAGATAAACAAACAGTAGATTGGTAGAGGCTCTTCACCGCAGGTCAATGAAGTCGTTGGCCATGGAATCCCGGAGCGGGGCCGCCGTGGTTGCCGTGGTCGGGCTGCACCTTTGGTCCAAACGATTCTCTCAGCTCACCCTGGAAAGAATGAGGAAAAACATGTGGTCGTTTGAAATCCCCAGCGGTTTCACTCACTATGGTACTTTGGCGGCGAAGGAACATGAAGGAACTCTAGTGACTCTTATTTAAGAGTTCACAGCAAAAATTGTCTATGTTTATATAGACAAAAGCAGGGTACGCAGCTGGTAAACATTATCTGCAGAAGGTGACCTGAATAAATGTTTATTGCAGGGGACATGTTTAGTTGTGGCAAAAGCGCAAAGTATGGGGTTTGATATTGGGTTGAATTCACAGTGTGCTTTCATTCTTGAGATTTATATAGACATGTATGTGTATGTTATATGCACCTAAAAAACTACATGAATTGTTGATTTGGGGTTCATGTACTTGCCTTTCATGATGATTTCTCAATATCATGGAAGGGCAATGAGGGGCCGGACGCATCCGATCAGCCTCAGAGTGTGATTTCTTCCTGGAGATCTGGTATGACAAAAGGCTACCCTTGCATTTTCGATGATAACGAAATTGGAGATCATCAAGAAAAAGAAGGCATTCTCCGACGTCGGAGAGTTTAATATATTGAAACACATGGAAATAGCGGGTCCACAGCTGCTGGCTCTTGATGTAGCTGGTGATCAGAATGCCCATGCCCTCCTTTTTCAACTGGTCCAAACTGGTCCAAACTGGTCCAAACTGGTCCAAAGTTAGGGTTTGATGAGTAATCATATGCGGCCAGTAATGGGAGACCTCACGTCTTTCCATCTTTGGAACTGAGGATGATTTGAAATGGAACAAGACACTGCACCTATTTCCTGCAATTGAACTGTCCATGTTTTATGTTTTAGTACTCTTTTTTCTGGATGAACACGGTCCAATTCAATGATTGGGGTATCCACTTGGAGGTGCAGTTCCACTCAGTAGCATAGTATGCCATAGTTCTAAATATTACTGTATACTCCAACTAACTATTGTGTGTTGCACTATGTTGTACTCATGCCCATACACGTTTACCTTCTACTACATTCACATACACTTGCAATCCAACCACGTCTAGATCATTTTTCCCTGTGGTTTCCCCCCAGGCTTTTCCGTATCGATGTTGTTGTTCATTCACTTCAGGTTAAAAACAGGATAATTCAGGTTGGTTGTATCTCACCATCTTCCCATGAAATCCCTTAATTTTATGGTCACTTGAATATATGTGTAACTTATCCTCTACCGATTAAACCAAGGTTTCGGTTTCGCGATGTGACAAGCGGGGGTGTTAAATATTAGAAAGAACACATTATCTATTATCCTCTATTATCTATATATATATATATGTGTATATATATATATATATGTATATACATATTTAATATATATATATATGTACCTATCAGCAAGAATCAACTGCGGCCTCTGCACAGACAGGCACACTGAAGACAGGCGTTTCCCCATCGCCAGGACAGTCGTCCCTTGGAAGATGGCGACTTTCTCAACATTGACGTGACGGCCAGGGACGGACCACGGGGACAACGGGGACAACGGGGACAACGGGGACAACGGGTACCCCAAGAGCTGGATAATTTGGGGGGTAGCCCTATTTTAGGAAAGCATCCTATAATACATATAGTCTGAATACATTATAATGTTAATTTATTTCATGGTAATGATATGTTCAAAGAGTCACGATCTTCATTATATATAATTATATATAATCATATTATATATCACATGTATGATATTAATAGTCATTAAATCATGTCAATAATTATTTACATAATGACAATATGATGTACTAGAATACATTTTTGTGAAATCAACACGGATTAACAATAATTATATGTATATATATATATATATAGGTACCCCACCCGTAGCCTTGTGGTATTCTTGCCCAATCGGATATACAAACATCGTATGGTTTACGACTCAGAAACAATGTGGCTGCAAGCAGCATGTTGTAAAGTTTGTAGCCAAGATTTGGGAGTCATTTTCAGGACAGGTCAACACTGAGTTTCTTGTTTGGTCTTGGGCTCGCAAGACACTCATGCACCATCCTACAACTATGATTGCAACAATGCCTCACGACCAAATCCCATGGTTTATCCTCATTTACTCCAGCTTCTGCCCTGAACTCCGGCTGTCAGGTCTATTTAAATGGCTATCATGGTGATACCAGGCCAGTTCTTTGCGAGTTTGACTGTGGAAGCAGCAGTTCTTGGGCGGGATTTTTTGGTCAAATTCACCCAGGTTTCATCAGCATGCGGGCTCTACAAAGTTGCTTCCAAAAGCTTATACAGCATGTTAATGGTGTCAAAATTCAATCCCAATAGTTGCTGATTGAAGTCCCATCGTTACCTTTAATTCTGTCATTTCTCGTTAGGAATGAAATTTCACATAGAAACGCTGCATTTTCTCGAAATACCCCACACACGACGGGTTTCTTCCAGTAATCTCTCTCTTGCATGGGCCAAAAATGTCTATTTCAAATGGACCCCAAGAGGGTGTTACTACGAGCTACACATATCTCTATATGTCATACAGAAATGATATGTGTATATATATATATATTATATATATATGGTCCCGTGATCTGGCCCTCCACCCCCCCCTGCCATGGGGTGGGTACCCCCTCATCCCCCACCACACTAAACACTACGACCCTGACCTCCCCCTGCCCTGCCTGGTACTAATCAGAACCTTGCCGTGTGATCCTCATGATACTTGCGCTATATAAGATACCTAGCTACCAAATACTGTACTATTTTACATATTGCAAACATCATTTATTGCATGCCTATATACAACCTATAAATCTCTACTACTAGCGTACCTATATACATAGCTTATATACAACCTATATGTTGCTCACCTCGTACTTATAAGACGTATTATATTGTATATATTTATAAATAACATGTTACCCATTGCATGCCTACAGACAACCTACATATTGATAGTAACGTGCCTATATAATACCACTGTACTTAATTATATAGTTAAATACATAAAATGTACCGTATACAACCTAATACACACCCAGTACATACCTAATCTATAACCCATTTGATGCCTACATACCTTTTTTTCCCTCTATACAACCTGTATATAACCCCCAGTACTATACCATCCCCCCACCACAGCCACGACCAAAACCACAGGGGGGGAGGGGGTTGTCGCAGGGTGCATACAACAACATGTAGACATGTGCCTTTTGTTGATCAATAACATATTGTGTAACTGGTGTACCTGGGCAAAGTAAATATCCAGTAAACCAGTTGGGCCTGGATTACCGGGTAAATTAAATATAGTATCAACATGAACATGATCAATCACTGGTTTAATAAATCTTCAATTTAATTGTTGACAGAAGTTATAGGTTTACCATGGTTTACCATGGTTTAACCATCATTAAACATTTATATAACCTCCAATAAACCATCCCATTGGGCCATCAACTCCAACTGATCCAACGGATCGATCGCGGGGATTTTCAGATACAAAAGCCAACCACAAAAACGGAAACGCCATGAGACCTTGTGGCCTACGTTACCAACCCATTTTTTAGACAGACCCAATCATATATATATATATAATCATATATATATAATATATATATAATATATATATATATATGTATCATATATATATATATGTATCATATATATATATATGTATCATATATTGTTACCAAGTTGTAAAAAATCTAAAAAATATCCGATTATAACCTTTGAACATGATGAACAGCTAAATCCCGAAAACAAACACATGATCCCCATGAAATCACCGATGAAAAACCGGTGGGTTCCTCGCCAGTTGCATGTTCTTCGCCGGGCGCCCCAAGAAGCGCGCCAGCGCCTTGTGCAAAGCCACTCGGCAGGCGTGGAGAACCAGGAAAATTCCATGGAAATTAGCCCATGGAAATGCACACATTGAAAATCGATGCAGTTTACTTTCAAATTACGCATGCTTTTGCGATTGCCAGAGCGACTCAGGATTTGTAGACAAGCTGGGATTCTGGTTAACCACCAAACATAACTGGACGGACCGTTCCCGATGTTTGGCCAGGCGATGCTGGCGGGGATCAAGGTCCGGCTGGGATCACCAGCTACGATGAAACTGTTGGGTGTTACACATATCTGGTTGGTGGTTAAGAACATTTCTTATTTTTCCATATATTGGGAATGTCATAACCCCAACTGACGAACTCATATTTTTCAGAGCGCTATGTATACCACTAACCAGAATATGTTAGTCTATTGGCATGTCTACACCTGGCCTGGATCTTACCATATGTTAGCTTTGTTTTGTGAAAAAGGGCTGATTTCAGACACCCTGAGATGTCCCTGATATATCCTGCTGCGATATTATTTTGAACAAAGGTTGGTGATAAGAAATGTCAGAATACATAGAACAGATATGTTTCACTATGCTTCTAAAGTAGGATTCTACTGGAGTCATGGTATCCCAAGCTCGCACCAGAAAATGTGTGTCAAGAGGATGTGGTTTGTCTGAACAGAGGGCGCCCCGTTCCATCCAGTGGTAAATGATAAGAGGCTACTAAATTTGACACTTTGAGGGTACAATCCCAATAAATGACCCCATGTTCAGACACACCCAACGCATAATAAATAGTTGGAACAGTTGCGATCTCCATCCATACCCATTAGTTAACGCATCATAAATAGTTGATTAGTTGGAACAGCTACAAACTCCATCCATACCCATTAGTCATATAATATATTGTATCCCCATTCCATCCAAGTTATATCCCTGGATTGATGTTTGGTTTCCATGAAAAAAACACGTTCCGAACTTCACCAGGTTTGCGGCCCTGATGTGGACTTCAGGGAGGTTGGCCGCTTTGGCTCACGTTGTTTTTTCCGCTGGTTATGGATGTTCCCCACAGTCATTTGGTGTCATAGCTACCCTCTGGTAAACGTTTAATTACATAACTATGGAAAATCACCATGTTTCACGGGAAAATCAACTGTAAATGGCAATTTTCAATAGCTACCTCCCATTTTTGTTTGCCTGAACTTTGATCAGCTTCGGCACTGGTCTGGAGTCATTGGGCGAAAGAGGCGGGAGGGACTGGGGAAACCTCGAAATCGGCAACGCGGCCGCAGCTGAGGCAAGGCCATCACCCGATCAGCCACTGAGGTGGGAGCTGGATGACCTGCGGGATGCAACCTCAATTGCAACAGGATTACGAGAAGATTGCAGCAACAGGATTTAGGGCCTCAAAGTGCCCAGACAAATGTGATAATTATAAATATATATATATACAGTATATATATATATATATTCATATGTGTTCATATTGTTTCCAGATGTTTCCAGCACTTTCATTAATTTCTATAGCTACTTTGAGAGTCAATGGATCACAGATTGGCAGGCGGGCTACACTGTCCACCCCACCTTAGAAGGTGCGAGCTGTTGTGGGAAGACAACATTGTCATTCTTTGTGGAGCTAAGAGCAAAACATGAAAACATGCCATGTTTTAGGGAAAAACAATGGAAACCATGATCTTTGAAAAAGGCTCGAACATGAAGAGCCGCTTGAAAATTCCAAAATCTGGGTTTCAGATTAAGCATAGGCCTAGGCCCATTGTGTTTGATTGCGGGGTGCAGGCAAGTAGCCGGGTGGTTGTTTGGACTCAGGAGGATCGCTTTACCGTGTTTGACCTCAAACAGGATGGTATTGGTCAGCAGGATCAAGATCTTCAATTCTTGTGTGTGTGTGCGTATCCAGGAATCTGATAGCGACTACTGAGTTTCTATGAAAAAAACTGGACAGTATCTACACGATTGCTCCTAGTATGCGGTATATTTGCATGCTTTATTAAATAACTGCCAGTCATCTCACCACATCACATAGGTGAAGGTGTTGTGACTCGGATTTGAAGTTCCATTGTACAAAGTCAAGACCATCGTTTTGATGCTGCATTGCTGATGTTGGTCCTACTCTCCTGTACATCATCTAGCCTAGCAATATATCAGTATATGATACCATGTGTCTATAATGCCGATTTTTTTTAAGCAGCAAATGGGCACGTCATGGTTTAGTTTCATAGCTAGGTTTGATGTGCAGGATTTAAATTTAATTGCTCTGTTTGCTGCTTTTCAACCATACTTTTTGGGGTAGTAATTTGTCCTTTGCTGCTTGATTGTTTGCTGCTTTAAGGTAATCTTCCTTCAGGATAGTCCAACCTATTAGTAACAGGTAATTAAATGTAATTACTTCCCATACGGAAAGGGGAAAGTATACAGTAGGTAATTTTACCATTTCATGTTCTTTAACAACTTAAAAGTTAATCTTTAAAATGTATATTTTTGTTCATTTGTTCCATCGCCTAGGCCCGCCACGTACCTCGAAAAATGTAATATCCCCATTATGACTTGAGACTTTTACCAGTTTTCATGGGTAGTTGGAGGGTCTGAGTATATCCTTCCTTTATTTAGCATTTCTCAACCTGGCTTTGGGATGCGACGCATTTGGTGTCAGGGCATGGCATTGGGAGCTACTTCCACGGCCGACCATCGATCCTGCCATACGTGCGCGGCTTGGGGCACTTCTGATGCACAGATATGGGGGTTCTTAAAATGGTGGATCCCCAAGTCACCATCGGTTTCCATACTAAAATGGCCTAATTTTGGATGGTATAATCTAGGATACAGTAAGTGGTGAAATGCCAGGTATAAGATCAGCTTCCTTTAGGTTCGCAAATCCATACAAATCCCAAAAGGCGTGCCTAGTCGGAGTATATGTTCGGGATATCATTGCTGTTGGGGTGTATCTCGGGTAAAGAGCTGAGGCATATTTCATATTTCCATCATCCAATGCACCTGATGTGTGGTATTCTGGTAATCTAGTGTAGCATTGGGTCTGCAAGGTAAAAAACAATCACTAGAAACTAGAAACGATAAATGTTCAGCGTATGAGTGACATACAGCTGTACCAGCTGTACGAAAGCTGGACAGAAGCACCCCAACTGCGAATATGACCCATCAGGAACTATTGTAGCTGGGGCGATTCTGAAATTGGTTTGATTTGCCCTATATCCGTTGTAATGTTGCTAAAGCAATTGTCTTGTTTTTAACCAGGTGGTATGTATTGTGGCATATATGTATAGGATTTAAAATATTTAAAATCTGACAAATGTCTAATTGCGTATTTCTTTCCACAGAAATTGAGGTTGTTCAGATAGGCGTGTTCATGGCAAGTAGCCGCGTAGCCTTCCTTTTCCCTTCTATGAAGTTGGATTCTTCCCTAGCGAAAGCATGGTTGGTGGTTTGGAATATGTTTTATTTTCCATAAGATATGGGATGTCATCCTTCGCATTGACGAACTCATATTTTTCAAGATGGTTAAAACCACCAACCAGTGTGTATATATATATGCATAATATGTATATATCTACATAAATTTAATATATATACATAAGTAATAAGTATATGGGTAACCGACAAAATTAGCGGAAGACTAGAGTAGTGAGGAGTGGACATGAGATGTTCAAATTTGTGCGACAACATTTACAACCGATAGGGGAACACCGACTTGCTGATATCATATTTTTGCACATAGCATGGAAGTACAAACCTTCAGAACTGATAGGGGGACGACCCACTTTGGCCATGTCCATTGCGGGCGGCAAGTAAAGTTGTTCGCCACTCATATATGTATCTATACATGTTTACATATATATATATATATGTATATAAATGTATACACGTACATGTTTATGCACAATGATTGGGTTGTCATTCGCGGGCCCTCAGGTGAATGACGTTGAGCAAGGATTGATGAAGCCAGGCATGACGCTAGGGCGCCTCAGAAATGATGCGACTGTGGAAAAGCCAGCAGTAAATGTGGTTTTACCGGCAACAATTGGGGATATGTATTGATATATATATATATCCTTTTTAAATAAATATATATTTATATATACAGAAATGTAAATAGATAGATAGATAGACAGATAGATAGATAGATAGATAGATAGATAAATAGATAGATAAATAGATAGATAAATAAATACATAGATAAATAGATAGATAGATAGATAAATAGATAGATCGATAGATAGATAGAATGACCGAATAGATAGATTAGGATAGGATAGGATAGGATAGAATGATAGATAGATAGATAGATAGATTGATAGATTGATAGATTGATAGATTGATAGATTGATTAGATAGATAGATTAGATATATAGATGATACAGATAGATTAGATAGATAGATTAGATAGATAGATTAGATAGATATATTAAATAGATAGACTAGATAGATAGACTAGATAGATAGATTAAATATATAGATCCGATAGATAGATTAGACAGATAGATTAGATAGACATATAGATAGATTGGATAGATAGATAGATAGATAGATCGATAGATAGATAGATAGATTACACATATAGATAGATTAGTTAGTTACTTGGTTGGTTAGTTAGTTAGATAGATAGACAGACAGACAGATAGATAGATAGATAGATATATCTAAATTTATAATATATCAATAGATGTAAAGTGATATATATATATATATTTAAATAAATAAATAAATATATATATATAGTTGTCAGTATATGTATAATTATATACATATCCAACTCCAACGTTTGTAAATGAACATGTGAGATACCAATGGGTTGTACGATGGCATAAGTATACATATATATATATATATGAGGCTTTTCCAGCAAGTATCCTCGGGATGTAAATGTAATGGTATATAGTATATATATATATAGAGTATATAGTATACATATATATATATTATATCATATTTACAATGTACCCTTTCCCCTAAGATTTAACACTCCCCAGACACCATGGTTTGGTAGGTGATTTACACGTATTTGGGAGCATTTGGGGGATGATTATTATTAGTGGAATGCGAATGCTGGAGGTTTGCTGGGATTAAATAGAGATGTGATTATCAGGAAAATTGATTTTGCCAGCAATTCATACTGGTTTACACGCAATATAATATATGCGGGGATAAATCCAACAGAAACTGGTGATTTCAATGCAACACAATGTGGCAAACCCTTGCCCCACTCACCCAGTTTTACCAGGGGTACGGCAACGACAGACGAGGATTCATCTCAGGATTATTGTGAAGGAACTGAAAGCTATGGAGCCCATGGTAACCCTGAAAGTGACCACCTGCCAAGTTTTGATGTGAAAGCTGGTTTTAAAGCTTTGTTCGCTTGAAAAAGGAGCATATCTCAAAGTTGGATCGGATATTTTGCATACTTTATGTAAAGATCGTGCGGAAAAAGGACACTCCAAAGGTGTGCATCACGTTGTTTGACCCACATCACGCATCTGGCACCACCGTGGTGCCCAGGTTCACAGTGGAGCCCGTGTTGGTGGAAAGCCCTGATCGCAGCTGCGAAGTGGACTCCGAGGATCTCTGGTGCTCCCGGCTGACTTCGACGCCGCGAGGGACGATTGAAGATTGGGGCCTCCAATGGCTGAGCTGTTGAGGTTGGTGAATTATGTTCTCTTTTTTTCCCAGATCGATGATTTGGCGGACCCTACATGATGCTTATTTGATTGTATTTTTTGGAGGTCCGGAGTATTGCAGGTGTTTCAAATCAAGTGGCTTAGTTGCGGTGTTTTGCACTGGCAGTCAGGTTTGAGAATATTGTCATGTATTATGTATTGATATCCACCATCTTCAGTGACTAAAAATCCTCGTTACATCCTTGCGATATCCTCGTCGCCCTGCGGCTCAAAAAAACAAAGAACAGGCTCGATCCAACGAAGATCACCTAAATCCGGGGTGCCCTCAAATCATCCATTTTCTTTAAGATTTTCCATTAACCATCCAGCTATTGGGCTACCCCCATGACAAAAGGAAACCCCCGAAATCTCATTGTTGGTTTTAAAGATGTGTCACCTGCAGTGGCTGGGAGCGGTTGGGCGCTTTGGGTATCCATATTCCGTGATATTACCTATGAAATGGGGAGCCAGTTGGAGCTACGAATGGAGTTTCCCAACCACATGATCGTTGATTTTCCACCATTCCAATCTGGAATGATCAAAATTGACATCCACAGGTTCTTTGGGGACCAGCAGTGGACTGAATGGATATTCTATCATTTTAGTCCACATTTTGTGATGATCGAGTTAGAGGCAATGGTGTCTCAAATCCGTCAGTAGAATTGGATAGAGGAACGACCTGGTTGGGAGGCCATGAGCAGGTAAGATTCAGTGTGTCAGGCTGGTGGTTTCGAATCCTTTGTCCCGTCCATAGATGATCCAAATAAACGTGACTCCAAGCCACCAACAAGAGGTATAACATGGTATAACTGGACCACAAAACTATAGTTTTGTTCGCTTCGTGCTCGCTGTTCTGCCATGGCCGTGGTACCCGTAGTACCTGCAACGGGAGTGGATGACAAGGAGGTCATTGAGATTTACAAGGCGGGTTTCACGGGTTTAACGGAAAATGATGCTTGAGGATGCTGTAGAATCATCTCATGTTTTTGATGTGGGAATCATTGTAAGTTGCCTAGATGGAAGGGCAAGGACATCTCTATGTCCTAAACATCACCTTGCAGAGCATGACCGAGCCATTCATGGTGTGGTGGTCACTGGTCAGGTCGACTGTTATGTATGGGGACGGGAGGTAGTTCCAGGTTGGGGCTCTTGACTTGAAGCTCGGAATGTTTACAATTTGTTCTTGTTGTGATTATTTTTCTTTACTGTATATATATATATATATAAACATTTATTCATGTTTATTTATTCTGTCTTATTTACTTCCTTCCTGTCTCTTGAGGACCTGCAATTTACTTGTCATGATGTCCATGGAGATCCGGCCACAAATCCCCCACTTGGATTGAGAGGGGATGTACCTTCCACATCCTTAAACCATCACCCTTTGTGATCCACAAAAACCTGTGGTACCCTCTGGTAAACGTTTACATAACCATGGAAAACCACCATTTTTTTTAGGTAAATCAACTATAAATGGGCACTTTTCAATAGCTATGTTAGTTTACCAGAGGGAGTCCTTCAGATGTTCGTAGGCTGCCGGCTTTGGCCCTTCCGAATTGCAAGCCTTGGGTGTCTTGGACTGCCAGGATTGGCGTGCGACGTGCTGGGTGTAAAATGACCATGTGTTAAAAAACAATAACACCAACTCGTGTTCAAACTTTACTAGAATGTTGATTGAATGTTGCAAAACATAACCAAGTATAGCAACTATACCAAGTTCCATCCATTTCTAATGTGTAAATTGAGGTTTATAGCTGCCCTCCAGTGTTTCGCAACCTGGATTTCCGTTGAGGATTTCCCCTGAGAACCCTGCGCCATGCCGGATTCACGCCTCAGGAGGCGGGCCGGACAGTTGGAAGGTGGAAAGACGTGGAGGAAACATCAATCCTGTTGGAATGATCATATATGTGTATGTAATATGTTGCAACATGTACATATATATATATATACACACTATATATTATGTATACTTTAAATATAACCAATCAATATATATATATATATATTTCCAATATATATATATAATTATAAGTATATTATATATATATATATTCCTATATATATATTTCCAATATGTATATATATATATATATATTATATCCAATATATATATATATTCAATATATATATACACATATTATGTATATATATATATATTCCAATATATATATATATATACATATGATGCATAATAACCATATGATGCATAATAACCTATCCACCTATCCCATTTCCTTCCCAATTTAGGCTTTTTTGTTGTCTTTGATGACATCGCTGGTTGGAGGGTCCACACGGTATTTGACGACGGCTTTGCCAACGCAGTAAGTGGCTGACAACATGGAACAACCATCTTACTGCATTCTTGATTATATACCAATGATTATCACCAGTATATACAATCTTTATAGCAACTTACCAGAATATTGATAATCACCCAGTGATTTTTTTTGATTATCATCACAAGATCACCATTTAGCATCATTTAGAGATCCCATATTCGCTGGTATGGCTGCATCCACATGATTTCCCATATGTTTGATCACCAATATATAATTGTATTGATAGCTATGAATTGTATCAACCATGCAATTTCTGATGTTTATTCAATGATATCCCATTGGGGATTTCTGGTTATTGGGAATATAGTTGCGGATTATTGGCTATATGATTAGTCGTCCGATAGATTGAGTTGAAACATAGGTGTGATTTCCTATATCACCATGATATCGTCCCATTATTTAGGGTATGTATCCCATCAATATTGCCGATTAAAAACTCCACATGTTGGTTCTATATTCATGTCATTGCTGAGATTAGTGTCACATGTGTCCCGTGATTTGAGTCAATTCCCTCTTGTTGTTGGTGAATTCATGTAACAAATCCCAACTTAAACCTTCAAGTTTTTGCATCATGGGAAAATATATGACAATATAATATTCTAAGCTAGCTATATAGCTGTGTATATATATATATACAGAAACATATATATATATATACACGTGGAATGTCACCTTTTTAATCCACACTTACTTTGCTTTTCGTTGTTTGGTTACATTCATTTTGTTTCTTGGTGAAATCGGGCTAAGTCCCATTCTTCATGATTTATTCGTGTCAACTCCTCACTTGCTTGTACCTTGCTATCCATGTGTTTGATGTTTATAATTTGTATTGTCCATTAGTCATTGCTGATGATTGTCCCATTATTTCCCATGACTTGGGGGGTGCAGTTCCAGTTGTAAGTGGGTATATAACCAGAGTATCATAGTTTTGGGGGTGGTATCCCAACTTGTGGTGCTTATTACCATAGTCATATCCACAACCTCAACTGCACCCCAAAGTAGTAGTCATTTCAATGGTTTGTTCCAGATAAAATGGAACTATTGCGCCCTAGAACGCATTTTTTTTCTGGGGATAGTCCCTTACATAGTCATAGAAAGTGGCCTTATAGTTTTAATGGTAGGTACGTCCGATTTAGGTCCATAATATGGCCATGGGTGAGTAATATTAGGGCTTTATTAACGCCACACCAACTATAACACTAAATTAACATGTTGTAACCGCAGTAATTATGCACCATTATATTAGTAGTACTGTAGCTGGGACGACACTAACCCACAGTTATAGCAAATAGTTATCCCATTTAGTGGTATTTTCCATCATATTATATCTATATATATATATATTGTTATAGAATAAACATAACACCGAGTATGGGAGAACACCCTCATATTCTATGGGTTTCCCATATGATTATTGCAATATTTTTCCCGAAGAGTGATTCACAAATATTGAAACACTATGAGTTGTGGGACATCAACAAAAACCTCATAGGGACCTCCCAAGGGGCGCGTCACCGTAGATACAGCCTTTGGGCGATGCCCATGCCTTAGCCACCGCCGGTTTCACTGCCCTGGAACTGCACAAGCTGGGATTCAGCCGCTCGAAATGGTGGCCTTCTTGGATGCTCTTTGTTCAGGCTGTGTGTCCTTAAAAATGGATGGTTCAGATGTGTTTCTTTCGGCAAATAGGATTGTTTTGTATACATGAGGATTGGGATTTGAATGTGCAAATGTGTTTTTTTGGTACGAAAAATTGTGGTGTCACTATGTTTTACTGAATTTGACCAACACTTTCAGTTGCAAAATCCTGGCGAAACAATAATGGTTACCTCTTCCATTATATGTACTCGTATGTTTGCATTTATGAAAGGATTTGCCAAGTGTCATTTATCCACTTGGCTATTCAGACTGACAATTTTGTAGGCACCCCAGTTTGACAGTAGTTTGACCAGTAGCAGTCTTGGTTCGATGATTGTACTGGTTAAAATGGTCGAAGCAGTGAGTGTAGTGGTTTAAATCAAAGCTTCCAGACCACAAATGATGGTGTAGCAAAAACATATTTGGTAATATAACTCAGCAAATATCAATGGGTAGCAAAAAGTAAACAGAGAAACCACGATGACACAATGATGGTGTAGCTTAGCAAATGTCAACTTTTCCCAGACCACAATGATGGTGGAGCAAAACACATACACAGTAACAAACGCGCCAATTGACTCCTCGTCATCCAGTGCACCACTGGAAGGGTTGCCCAAGTGTACATATTTCGACAAGTACTGTCTTTGCTCAAACATGTCCATTGTTTCCGAGTTACAAATACTGGTTCTATCCGTTTGTTGGTGCAAAGCAAATCATTGGCTGATAAGATTCCCTGCAGGTTGATGATGTTTCATCATTTGAAAAAAATCATTTGTTACTTATCAATCTGATCAGCATATTTGCAGATATTGATCGACGCTATTTCTGCAATTGGTTGTTTTTATTTGGTCATTAGGGGGTGAAATTTGGACACTGTAAATCAACTATATAAATGCCACATATAAAAAATATCCTGGCGAACAAACTTGGCTGTGGGCAACACGCCCATTTGACATTACCCTCCTCGCTCCTGTTTTTTTTCCAACTATAATTAGGGTATCTCAGACCATCTTTGCTTGTTCATGCTCCGGTAATCAACATTGCAAGCTGGAAAATGTTTGGTTATAGGTATATCAAGGGTACATCCCTTGAGAATCCCCACGGAAAATCACCATTTTGGTTGGTCAAATCAGCAAAAAAACATCCACGGCTGCACGGCTGCACGGCTGCAGCATCCGTGACCCTAGGTCCAGAGATCTTGCGTCGCGCGGGATTTGAAGCCAAGGACAGAGCTGCAGGGTTTGTTTGTCACCGCACAGTGAACCATGGCCCATACGGTCTCCAGGTGGAATATTTGGTGTTTCTCTATATCTATATCGTATCTATCTATCTATCTATCTATCTATCTATATATTTATCTATCTATCTATCTATCTGTCTATCTATCTATCTATCTGTCTATCTATCTATCTATCTATCTTTCTATCTATCTTTCTATCTATCTATCTATCTATACAAAGATAGATAGATAATGTCAACCTTGGATTTCTAGACTCTGGTTTATTAATGTTCCTGGATTTATAGACTCTGGTTTATTAGTGTTTATTCGCTAGAGGGGCACTCCCCAAAAAGTAATGATTTAGATAGTACCCTCCCCTAATTAAACAGCCTAGGGGTTATTAATCCAGGGTTGACATTAATGTTTCCCCTCGTAAACATGATCGATGATAGCGACACCAAGCCAAACTTCCGGCAAAGAAAGCAACAGTCTGAGCCCTGAGCAACTCTAATGAACTCACTGGGACCTCAGTGGAATCATGGTCAATAAGAGGCATCATCCCCAAATGGCCTTTATTCATGTTTGTGAAATATTATGATTTACCCAGAAGAATGTAATTATTCATTTACCTTTCAAGATGTATATGGGCGTTTCCATAAGTGGGGGATCCCAGAATGGATGGTTTAGAATGGAACATCCAATTAAAATGGATGATTTGGGGGTACCCCCGTTTTAGGAACCACCATATATTTTATGGTTTGATGCCCAAGCCGAGAAAAGACATGGTGTGGTGGCCTGTTCAGCGTCCCTAATCTGATGCCAACTGCGCCTGATATATTGATGATGCGCGTGACGAGCAGGTGCTGCCTATACTATAAAGAAAATTTCACTGAGCACAGCATTGTTTCCACCACTTTTTGCCTCCAGAACCCAGAAACGCCGTCTACTGTAATCCCTCCAAAACAGTTGGAAGACTGGTTGCTGGTGTCACTTGTTCATCTTCCATCTGGTTGAGGATCCTAAAAGACTGGGATATTTTTGGGTCACCCCAGCCATCACGTCCCACAAATCCCACAGGATTTGTGGACACTGGACCTATCCTTGAGGCAGCTGCGAGATTTGGGATGTTGCTAGGCTACGCACTTGGAGCAGCTGATGGCTGAGAAGAATCTGATGTGTGAGAGATGAGGCATTGGAGATAATATCAGATAATATTACATAATTATGAATTATAAATAATTAATCAATACACCTATCCTCCGATAATCAAACGTGGCTGGCTGGGGAATCCCCTATCAATGGAAGTTGTTTTTTTTGAGAAAATCATCTATACATGATGGATGTTCCAGCACGCCGTGTTTGATTAGAGGAGGGTATAGTAGATGATCCTGAATAGAAACCCACAATGAAATGATTTGATAGAAGGTTTATGCTCTCGAATCGGCTGTGGCCACCTGGTCCCAATTTTCTGGAGCAACCTCACTACGACATCAGGCAGATCAGTTTCACGGAAAACATCCCACAGAGCGTTCCAAAAGTGTTTTGTTTTGGTCAATCTCTTGGATTAAGAATCATGTTTGTCATACCCTCTGGTAAACTAACATAGCTATGGAAAGTCACTATTTTAAATTGGTAAATCCACTATAAATGGCCATGTTCAATAGCTATGTTAGTTTACCAGAGGGTATCTGTAAGCGCTTTAGAAGCTAGTCCCGGGGGGAAGTTTGCGAAACCATGCTGTTCAAATGCACTTTGTCACCCAATCGTTTCGATGCGCTAAAGCTGCGCATCGTGCAGCTTTCTGATGACTCCAATGCATGATTGCCTTGCATGAATTGTGGACATTGTGTAAGTATTGTGTAAGTGCCAGCCACATGAATGGTTTCAAAACGTGTATATACTCTATGTATAAATATTACGTACCACATAATATAGCTGAAGAACATGAACATATATTGATGAACTGAATGCATGGCATGTCCAACGCAGTCCCGTTGCGAAGGCCATTGCCATAGGAGAACCACTCATGACAAGATGACATGAAAGCATTCTTTTCTTTGAGTGTTGGGAGTACCTCAAACAAGAACACACCAAAGTTTGCGATTATATTGGAGGCCTGGAATAGGAATACGGTGAAATCATCTTGGACTTGTATGTTTGACTAATTCCGCTAGTGTCAAAACTTCTACCACTTCCATGCCCTTGGCAGTTTATGCCGACCCCATGATTTAGTTGAGACATGCAACAGTCATTTTTTCTACTCCCAAACCAGCATTATTTTTGCTAAGGTAAAGCATTTGTTGTATCCAGCATGTTTTTGTCTAAGGTCTAGTATTGGTTTTATGATGTTTTATCCTTATTCTTCCGATATTGACAAATTGCATTCAATCTTTTGAGATTCACCAACCCTTATATACTGTAGCCAGTGTATTCGCTCGATGCTTCCTGCCATGGTGTCGATTCGCAGTTCCTGCCAGGGTTTCAAATGGGGAAATCTTGGAACAATGGACAAACAAGGAATGATTATGACATGTTACGCAAGAATGGGTGTACCAACCCAAACCAAACCACATTTTAGTTTATGTGAATATAATTATATATATTATATACATACTATAGATGTAAAATATGATTATAACATATTGATGATGCATCAAACCAAACATTTTCTTTGTTTTGTTTGATGAATTTCACCTTTGACAGCCACGGCACCATCAGACCTCAGGCAGCTTGGCGGAGTTGCGACGAGCGGCCGCCGAGCTGGAAAAACCCTTGATGATGTCAACCTTGAGGCCTTGGACTCGATTAGTCAATAGTGGTTCTTGATCATGACCCTGACTGTGGTAAGTATGAATAAACAAATATCTAAATATATGTGTATATATAATATATACTATATATTAATGTACATATGTATAGGGAGGACTCCCGTGACTCACATAGGTTTTTGTTGTTAAGCTTTGCGCATTGGCTGGAACATTGACATTCTTTGTTCATTATTTGTTTGTACATTAGATGCACGTACCGATGTTTCGGGGCTACACATAGTTTGGTAGGGACATTGTGGGTATACTTGAACAACTAGTAACTAGTTATTCGGTATTACTATATGATAGGATGTCCAACAAATGATTGAATATCATATGATATCGAGATCTCATGGATCTCATATATCTTCAAAAATCTGGGTTTCTCTCATTTATACATTAAACTGGAGTATAACTGGGGTAGCACCATCATGGTATAATAGATTTGTATGTGAGAGTGAGATTGTTACTGAATGTTTTTACAAAAGTGGCAGTGGACGTGTTGCCTAGTTATACCCGTGGTTGAAATTCCATAGATTTACGATTCCTGGGTGAGTTTGTTTTATATATTTATAGCATGTAAAACGTAGTAACTTATTCTCTCCATTGGTGGTTATGTGATTTTGTGATATGTATGTATACATATATATATATATATATATTTGAGAAACAGCCTGTTAATCCGGAGATGATTTGAAGCCAAGTACTGTTCATGAGACAATTAGATGACCAACATATGGAGGATTACAGGGCATGACAATTCTTGGAAGGAAGCGACTGTCCCCGTTCTGCTTGAAGTATGTGCATGGATAGTGTGTGCATGGATGTGAGATGATGGACATGCAACTGGAACATGTCGCTGTTAGGTCGCTACATACATACATACATATGTATATATTGTACATATTATGTGTTTTACATGTGTTGATTTGCCATTGAACAATGCTACAATGTACGAACAGCTAAGTTTGATTTTGAGTCATGATATTATCATATTATTTTGAAGTGACATGATATAAGTATATTTACCATGTTGCGGTACAGTAACATATGGTATAATGTCAGTTAAATTATATGTAATCTAGTTTAGGAGAATACATAATGGTTTAATTGTTTGGTCAATTCGATGTAATATGATATGATGCTTAACTAGTCAATCATCAATCACTACGTTTTTTTAATTCCCTTTGTAACCATATTATCACATTCAGCATTGGGTTTGCCAATCACAACACAACACACACGTTTATCAGCATTCCATACATTTGCACATGTAACATGGCTGTCTTAGAAAGACTTGATATGCCATGACCAGAAACTGAGCATGATCATGAAACATTAAAACATTATCGTGGTATTTGATATTGACAATATCGGTATAATTTTCATGAACAGTTTACATGTTTTACATTTTTTAAACACCCATCAAATAGCTGTGGTTTCGATCCACAGTTAACCTGCATCCACCTGGAGGCAGTTGGGCTTCAGCTTCGCGGCGAGTTGAATTTCATCATCCCAACTGACGAACTCCATCATTTTTTTCAGAGGGGTAGGTCAACCACCAACCAGATGATTCTTGTCCTTGCCTTGTCCTTGCCTTGTTCTTTCAATGGTTTTCCATCATGTTCAATGTTCAATGATGTCCCACGATTGTCCACAATTTCAAAGGTCTTGCTACCAAAAAGTCAGTTATATAGTGTAGTTGACAAGGGGCAAATCAGTAGCATATATCTGGCAGCTATGGGATTGCTTGAATATGATTCAGAATCATGACAATTACGGGATTAGAAGTGGAGCGGTTTTGATTCCATACCTGTGTCACACAAAAGTTGCCATTTGATTTGCCAGTTGCCCAGCTATGAATTTATGTCTTCATTGCCATGTCAACCATGGGGTTCTGGAACTGGGATGAACGCTGACCATGAAGTCCTAAAAGAAGATTCTCCTGAAGGTGTGTTAGTTTCATGTGGCTATTACTACTACGATTATTCTTTGTTTAGTTTTGTAGTTGTGCTAAGATCCCATACTATATGCGGGTTTCCATAAATGGGGGATGCCCAATAGCTGGATGTTTTATAATGGGAAATCCTTTTAACATGGAGGATTTAGGAGTATCCCCAGCTTAGGAAATCTCCATAGAATGGTTAACCCGGTGAAAACCACATTGTTCCGTTGTAAATTCATATATCTGTGTGTCCTTTGAGTCAAACATCATATGTTGAATATTCGCATTGCTCCTTCTTCCTCTGGTCATGCCTAGGTATTGGTTGCATTGCATGTATGTGGGTCAGAACCCTAATGCCACTTAATAGCCTTTTTCCCATATGGGAAGCTGCAGAAACGATGAATTTATGAGTTGGTATATGGGATAGTTATTTTCCCATCCGATTTTCGAATTTTACCCAGACCTTACCCGAACTCAACTTGAAGTCAACCATGTGTTCCCAAGTAAACATGTTACCCAAATTTGCCAATGTGGTTCCCATCCAACTATGATGGTTGGTAGATTCACTTTGATGTTCAACCATAGACATATTTGAAATGGGATAGTGAATCTAAATGACTATATATAATAATATATACGTATATATATATATATATACGTATAATTATATTATCTGGTTGGTGGTTTGGAACATGACTTTTATCTTCCATATATTGGGAAATTCATCATCCCAACTGACTTTCATATTTTTCAGAGGGGTTGAAACCACCAACCAGTTATAGCTGACCACCATATATAATCATCATATAGTATAGACTCCATACTCCTCAAGTGTTTCCTGGATACTGTACCAACATTGTTTTTGGTGAAACCCAAAGACACGATTCTGGACTCCAGAAAAACAGCCGAAACAAATACCACCCAACTACGTGGATAAACTACGTTGATAAATTATCATGCCTTTACTGCGAAGTAACTGGAATGATGCTTCGAATTGGGGTCAATAACTACCCCCAAAATGGCCGAACTATTCTGATTCATGAACTATTAAGGTTTTTTCAGATTTAGGATTTGTTGGTTATACCCCTATATATTATATCTCGATAAGTCCCCATTAAAATCACATGAGAATCCCAAATTTATTGCATTACAGATGTGAATGGATATAGAATTATCTCATTAAAACCCTCATGATTCTCCCCATGAAAAATCCATAAAAACAACTATGGTCTGTTCCAAATCACAAACACTTTTACATCTATAGATGTGGACTTTATGGGACTTGATTTTTCACCATTTCTGGATAGTTCCAAGGCTACCAGGATATGCGTGATGCGGGCTGCTCCGCTGGCGAGCTGTGGCAGGCCATGGCATGTCTGAAACGGCACATTTAATGGGGAAAAATAGATGAACATATGTTTCTTATTTTAAGTGGGGAATAATGTGGAATATCATGGAATACAAGTATCTAGATGAAGATCATGAATGCTCATGAATGTTTATTGTTTATTGAACCCATCGTTAAATGGTTGGGTTCAAATGTGACTGGACAATCATCCCAAATTGTCGCCGGCAACCTGCAACGTTTAATAAATGAGGTGTCCACAAGCAATGCAAAGGAACTTGACAACACAGAGCCAGATGTATTTGATCAGAACATGGGAATCTTAGACAACTCTGGGATATGTATATATATATGCATATTCAATGAATCTGATTTGAACATGTGGACTCCAGCCGACAATATCCCGCTGCTAGTGCGACCAGCCAGAAACCTACTCGTACGGTGGGGGGCGGCCCCTACTTAGCAAAATTGATTTCTAACTAGGCTAACTAGGAATTACAATAGATATATCTACATATTTAATTAATGGAGGTTAGTAGATATTAGCGGGATCTATAAACCCAGCTTTGCAACCCAAAAGCAGCGAGGGTTCCAAGGTCCCAAGGTTCCATGGTGCCGTTCCAAAAACCGACGCAACTTGTATTAGCCACAGCTTCAGGCAGCGTGCCCCTTGCAGACCTTGAGATTTCTGGGCTTCACTGTGAAGGACCTTCGCACCTCAGGAGTGACAATCCCTGGTAAAAAACGATCTGCTACCACTAAACTTTCATGGCCCTGAGAAAGCACAATCTTTCATCAGCAAAACAAACATATGAATTGTACAGACATCAACGGATCGCTTTCCCTGGAACAAGAGCACTTGTTGCTGATTCTTTCTCGCTGTGGGATTGGAGGCTTTGATTTGCACCAGATCAGAGATGCCGGCTTTGGAAAGATGGAAATGATTTACGTTGCTTTGGCATATTCATTGGCTCGTTTATGGCAGGTAGGCTGATTTCCAAGATGAAGCATGGTATGCTGATGCATGATGCATCATGATGTAGATCTGATCTGCATGAATCTATCTATACATATATATATAATATGATTGTACGTGTATGTAGGTTTGTTTGTTTGCTTACCTGCTTGATTGCTTGTTTGTTTGTTTGTTTGTTTGGTTGTTTGTCTGTCTGTTTGTTTGCTAGTTTGTTTGTTTGTCTATCTCTATTTGGTTCTTGATCTTTGTTTGTATCAATTGTTTTCTTTATTTGGTTGTTTGCATATATATCCAGTTGATTCCAGTTGTCTATCTATTTGCATGTTTACCTCCAAAAATATTTCATGCATCCAAACCTAGTAGAAGCAAATCAATCTACTGTAGTCCAATCGTATCCAATGAATTCCAGTCTAAGTCTATACACTTCGTACGTGACCATTTTGGAGGGTTTCATAGATGGAGAGTTGAGGAAATCGCAGCCCCTTTAGGGTTTTTGTTAAGGTAGAAATCGGTAGAAATAGAATAGATGAACGTACAATGTTATTGGATGTTATATATATATATACACAGTATATACATTCATGTTCACGGAATCAAGAGCATGGTCAATGGGTTGAATGGCGGTGCCAAGTTACTGTTGGAAATCCATTTTTAAGCCTGAGAGAGTCCGCCGATCGGGTTGAACCCCTGGATTCCCGATGGAATCACCTAAAAGGAACGAAAATCGAGATAGAAATTCATCAAAGCCAAATCTAAGTTGGTAAAGTACGAATTTCTTGGGGTTAAACCTGAGGATCTCAGCGTGATGATTCGTTGCCAAGCCTCTCAAGTGCGATCGGTAACATGCTTCGTATATGCATCAGGTCAGTGAATACCACTAGAAGCCATTAGCCTTTGTTTGACGTTGAAGAACTTATACATATTTATCCATTCAGAGTGTAACATTTATTTTTCGTTTGGCGGCCTCGAGGCTGGCTACTCCAAGGATGACGTCCTAGCTGCGTTCAGTAGCTTCGAGAATCCCATGGGATGAGTGTTCGAATTGGATGGTGACCACCATGGTTTTCTGTAGACTTTTCAACCCAATGAGTGGATGCCGCCTTCCCAACAGGGGAAGGCTTTGGTCTCCACACTGGAGTTGTGGAAAAAGTGGACTGAGTCATGTCAGCGCAACTTGGGGTCGATTTGAAGAAATGGGTCTGTATATGGGTTGGTATGAAAATAGGGCTCCCCGAATCCCAATAGTTTCTGTTTTTGTTTTCTCCCAATTCAAGAATGTCATTCTGGGGGGTATACCCAATTTTCAGACACACATTATATATATATATATATTGATATGTATATTATATATATATATATGTCTATATTATTCTCTAGTGATGCTTAATAACTATGTGTTTCTACACATTTATTTCTCAGTTTGTTGTATACCTGGACCATCCTGGACCCTCAAACTACCAGTGAGCCAACATCAACTGCTCATGACATCATTGTCAGGGCAAATTTCAAAAATGTATATCCCCTACTGTTTGGAGAAACCCCAAAATGACTGCACTATTGACAAGCTGAGAAATATCTCTTATCCAGTCTTGGTTTTTGCCACATTGTTCTTAGGGGCTTAATTTTGGCATGTACTGCCGATGATTCCCCATGAATTAATTTAGCCCCCCTACAACTAACATACACTCTGCCAAATATAGGGGATGCCGGAAGACTACTTTCTTCAAAACATGTTTGATAAACATAGGGTCTATGGTCCTTGGCGGATGGCAATCCATTTGATCATATTTGATCCAAATGATATGAAAGTCTTGCATATCATGTCTAGTGTTTTTGTTGCTTTAATTTGCTTAAAATCATCCATTTGGAGGTTACATGAATCCCTATATCAACCAACGCTTGGATATTCTGCTGTTGCTGCGGATGTTTGGCCTCGCGGCCCTGGCCAGGACGTTGTGCACCTCCACCAAAGCCTTGACAGCGCAGTTCGAGCACACCATTCTCATCACCGAGGATGGGCACGAGGCGGGGACTTCCCGCTTCTTCGGCAGCTTTCGAATCAAAACGGATAAGATATGATGGTTTCAATGATTTCAATATAAACAAAAGTGTTCGTTCGTAGGATTTCGACCTTTTTTTCACGATTTATCCATTGAAACACCGTGTTTGAACTCGACAAGAATGGTGCTTTAATCAATTCAACCATTTGTCCCGAGAGCGTCTGAGCGAAGGGTTCTTCTAATAGTAGAGGTTTGCTATACATCTTCATATGTTCACATCTTCATGTGTTCACATCTTCATCACATCTTCATCACTTCTTCTCATCTTCAGATCTTCTCATCTTCATCACATCTTCATCACATCTTCATCACATCTTCATCACATCTTCTCATCTTCACATCTTAACATATTCTCATGTTTACATCATCTCATCTTCTCATCTTCACTGTCTCTCCTTCTCTCTCTCTCTCTCATTCTCTCTCTCTCTCTCTGTCTCTCTCGCTCTCTCTCTCTCTCTCTCTGTCTCTCTCTCTCTCTCTCTCTCTCTTCCCTTGCCCTTTGGCACAGTCTCTCTCCTTCTTTCCTTCTTATTTTCTCTCTTTAGGCGGCGGGCAGTGCTGATGAGGTGCCACAAAGTGGCCACCCTTTCGCACAAAATGAGGTTTAAGTCAAAAAACTGAGATAAATTTGCGCTTTTCAATTGTCCGCGGCAATCCTTTCGCACGAAATGATGTTGGAGTGTCAAAAACTGAAGGTTTTTTGCGAGTTTGGTTGGTCCGGCCGCAACCCTTTCGACGAAACGAGGTTCGAGTGTCAAAAACTGAGGTAAATTTACGATTTTGGAACTTCTGCTGTGCAACATTTTCGCACGAAACAAGGTTCGAGTGTCAAAAACTGAATGTTTTTTGCGAGTTTTCAAAGTTTGTGTGTGTAAAGGCATCTGTGTGTAAAAGCTTCTGTGCGTAAAAGCTTCTCTTTGTAAAAGCTTCTGTGCGTAAAAGCATCTGCGTGTAAAAGCTTCTGTGTGTTCTGTGCAAAAGCTTTTGTGTGTAAAAGCTTCTGGGTGTAAAAGCTTCTGTGTGTCTGTGTGTGTGTAAGAGCTTCTGTGTTTAACAGCTTCTATGTGTAAAAGCGTTTGTGTATAAAAGCGTCTGTGTGTAAAAGCTTCTGTGTGTAGCAGCGTCTGTGTGTAAAAAGCTTCTGTGTGTAAAAAGCTTCTGTGTGTAAAAGCTTTTGTGTGTAAAAGCTTTGGCGTGTAAAAGCTTCTGTGTGTAAAAGCTTCTGTGTGCCTGTATGTGTAAGAGCTTCTGTGTTTAACAGCCTCTGTGTGTAAAAGCGCCTGTGTATGAAAGCGTTTGTGTGTAAAAACTTCTGTGTGTAAAAGCGTCTGTGTGTGTGTAAAAGGTTCTGTGTGTAAAAGCGTTTGTGTGTAAAAGGGTTTGTGTGTAAAAGTGTCTGTGTGTAAAAGTGTCTGTCTGTTTGTAAAAGTGTTTGTGTGCAAAAACGTCTTTGTGTAAAAGTGTCTGTGTGTACAAGCTTCCGTGTGTTGCAGCTTCTGTGTGTAAGAACATCTGTCTGTAAAAGCTTCTGTGTGTAAAAGAGTCTGTGTGTGTGTGTAAAAGGTTCTGTGCGTAAAAGTGTCTGTGTGTAAAAAGCTTCTGTGTGTAAACAGCTTCTGTGTATAAAAGCTGTGTTGTGTAAAGGCTTCTAGCCTATGTGTAAAAGCTTCTGTGCGTCTATGTGTGTACAAGCTTCCGTGTGTTGCAGCTTCTGTGTGTAAAAACATCTGTCTGTAAAAGCTTCTGTGTGTAAAAGAGTCTGTGTGTGTGTAAAAGGTTCTGTGTGTAAAAGTGTCTGTGTGTAAAAAGTTTCTGTGTGTAAAAGCTTCTGTGTGTAAAAGCTTTTGTGTGTAAAAGCGTCTGTGTGCAAAAGCTTCCGTGTGTGTCTGTATGTGCACAAGCTTCTGTGTTTAATTGCTTCTATGTGTAAAAGCGTCTGTGTACAATTAAAAGATATGAAAAGTGTTTGTGTGTAAAAGCGTTTGTGTGTACAAGCTTCTGTGTCTAAAAGATTCTGTGTGTAAAAGTGTTTGTGTGTAAAAAGTTTCTGTGTGTAAAAGTTTCTGTGTGTAAAAGCTTCTGTGTGTAAAAGCTTTTGTGTGTAAAAGCTTCTGTGTGTAAAAGCTTCTGTGTCTAAAAGATTCTGTGTGTAAAAGCTTTTGTGTGTAAAAGCTTTTGTTTGTAAAAGTGTCCGTGTGTAAAAGCTACTGTGTGTCTGTATGTGTAAGAGCTTCTGTGTTTAGCAGTTTCTGTGTGTAAAAGTGTCTGTGTATAAATGCGTTTGTGTGTAAAAGCTTCTGTGTGTAAAAGCGTCTGTGTGTGTAGAAGGTTCTGTGTGTAAAAGCGTTTGTGTGTAAAAGCTTTTGTGTGTAAAAGTGTTTGTGTGTAAAAGTGTCTGTTTGTAAAAGTGTCTGTGTGTAAAAGCGTGTGTGTGTGTGTGTAAAAGCGTCTGTGTGTACAAGCTTCTGTGTGTAAAAGTGTCTGTGTGTAAAAGCGTCTGTGTGTGTAGAAGGTTCTGTGTGTAAAAGCGTTTGTGTGTAAAAGCGTTTGTTTGTAAAAGTGTTTGTGTGTAGAAGTGTTTGTGTGTAAAAGCGTTTGTGTGTAAAAGCGCTTGTGTGTAAAAGTGTCTCTGTGTAAGAGCTTCTGGTTGCAAAAGTGTTTGTGTGTAAAAGCGTCTGTGTGTAAAAGCGTCTGTGTGTAAAAGCGTTTGTGTGTAAAAGTGTCTGTGTGTAAAAGCGTCTGTGTGTAAAAGCTTCTTTGTGTACAAAGCGTTTGCGTGTAAAAAGCTTCTGTGTGTAAAAAGCTTCTTTGTGTAAAAGCTTTTGCGTGTAAAAGCTTCTGTGTGTAAAGCTTTTGTGTGAAAAAGCTTTTGTGTGTAAAAGCTTCTGTGTGTCTGTATGTGTACGAGCTTCTGTGTTTAACAGCTTCTATGTGTAAAAGCGCATGTGTATAAGAGTGTCTATGTGTAAAAGCCTTTTGTGTGTGCAAAGCGTCTGTGTGTAAAAAGCTTCTGTGTGCAAAAAGCTTCTGTGTGTAAAAGCTTCTGTGTGTAAAAGCTTGTGTGCGTAAAAGCTTCTGTGTGTAAAAGTGTTTGTGTTTAAAAGCGTTTGTGTGTAAAAGCGTCTGTGTGTACAAGCTTCTGTGTGTAAACGCGTCTGTGTGTGTGTGTCTGAAAGCGTTCGTGTGTAAAAGCTTCTGTGTGTAAAAGCGTCTGTGTGTAAAAGTGTCCGTGTGTAAAAGCTTCTGTGTGTAAAAGCTTTTGTGTGTAAAAACGTCTGAGTCTAAAAGCGTCTGTGTGTAGAATCATCTGTGTGTGTAAAAGTGTCTGTGTGTAAAAGTGTCTGTGTGTAAAAGTGTCTGTGTGCAAAAGTTCTGTGTGTAAAAAGGACCGTGTGTAAAAGTCTGTGTGTAAAAGCTTCTGTGTGCAAGAGCGTGTGTGTGTAAGAGCGTCTGTGTGTAAGAGCTTCTGTGTGTAAAAGTTTTTGTGTGTAAAAACATCTTGTGTAAAAGCTTCTGCGTGCAAAAGTGTCTGCGTGTAAAAGATGTAAAAGTGTCTGTGTGTAAAAGCTTTTGTGTGTAAAAGCGTCTGTGTGTAAAATATTCTGTGTGTAAAAGTGTCTGTCTGTAAAAGCATTTGTGTGTAAAAGCGTCTGTTTGTAAAAGGGTCTGTGTGTAAAAGCGTCTGTGTGTAAAAGCTTCTGTGTGTAAAAGGTCCTGTGTGTAACAGGTTCTGTGTGTAAAAGCATCTTTGTGCAAAAGCTTCTGTGTGCAAAAGCTTCTGTGTGTAAATGCTTCTGTGTGTAAAAGTGTCTATGTGTAAAAAGGTTCTGTGTGTACAAGCTTCTTTTGTAAAAGCGTCTGTGTGTAAAAGCGTCTGTGTGTAAAAGCTTCTGTGTGTAAAAGCATTTGTGTGTAAAAGGTTTTTTGTGTAAAAGCGTCTGTGTGTGTCTGAAAGCGTCCGTGTGTAAAAGCGTCTGTGTGTAAAAGCTTCTGTGTGTAGGAGCGTCTGTGTGTAAAAGTGTCTGTGTGTAAAAGCTTTTTGTATAAAAGCTTCTGCGTGCAAAAGTGTCTGTGTGTAAAAGCGTCTGTGTGTAAAAGCGTCTGTGTGTAAAAGCGTCTGTGTGTGTTGTGTGTGTAAAAGCTTCTGTGCGTAAAAGCGTCTGTGTGTGTAAAAGGTTCTGTGTGTAAAAGTGTCTGTGTGTGTAAAAGCGTCTGTGTGTAAAAAGCGTCTGTGTGTGAAAAAGCATATGTGTGTGTAAAAGATTCTGTCTGTAAAAGCGTTTGTGTGTGTGTGTGTCTGAAAGCCTCCGTATGTAAAAGTGTCTGTGTGTAAAAGTGTCTGTGTGTAAAAGCGTCTGTGTGTAAAAGCTTCCATGTGTTGCAGCTTCTGTGTGTAAAAACATCTGTCTGTAAGAGCTTCTGTGTGTAAAAGGGTGTGTGTGTGTAAAAGGTTCTGTGTGTAAAAGTGTCTGTGTGTGTAAAAGCGTCTGTGTGTAAAAGCGTTTTGTGTGTGTAAAAGCATTTGTGTGTGTAAAAGGTTCTTTGTGTAAAAGCGTCTGTGTGTGTCTGAAGCGTCCGTGTGTAAAAGCGTCTGTGTGTAAAAGTGTCTGTGTGTAAAAGCGTCTGTGTGGAAAAGCTTCTGTGTGGAAAAGCTTCTGTGTGTAAAAGCGTCTGTGTGTAAAAGCGTCTGTCTGTAATAGCGTCTGTGTGCACAAGCTTTGCGAAGGACGAAGGATACGATGCAAACTTTTTTCTTGTAATATATGGTCTTGATACTATTCTTCTTGTCTGCCTAAAATACATGTTTGTTTTCTTAAATATATTCTCTTGTAATATATTGTCTTGATACTAACAACAGAAGACCTTGCTCCTCTACGCTCTCGGGCCATCCGTCGTCTAGTTTTTGCTTTAACGAAACAAGCATGGTGATTTCTCAGATTAATTGGGGTTGGTTGAAAAGAACAAGTCCATAAAAGACGTTGCTGTTTTTACATATATATATATTACATGCTTTTCGTA